CATGACCTGAGCCGAAGTCGGAGGCTTAACCAACTGAGCCACCCGGGCGCCCCAATATTTATTTATTTTTGAGAGAGAAAGAGAGAGAGAGAGAGAGAGAGAGAGAGCAAGAGCCGGAGAGGGGCAGAGAGAGACGGAGACACAGAATCCGAAGCAGGCTCCAGGCTCTGCTCTGACAGCACAGAGCCCAGTGCAGGGCTTGATCTCACAAATGGTGAGATCGTGACCTAAACCAAAATCAAGTCAGATGCTTAACTGACTAAGCCACCCAGGCACCCCTAACCATGGTCTGTTCTTAAAGAAGAAATTTTAGTTGACGGTACATTTATTTGTTAATGTATTCATTTATTTACTCATTTAACAAATATTTGAGCACCTACTATATATCAGGTGCTAATACTGGTTTCTCTATTGTTGTGTTTGTTTAAGGCCAAATGTTGTAATCCTGATGGATGTATCTCCTATTGCTCTTTAAGAAAAACAAAATCAGATGATCCAGTTTTAGTTAATTCAAAAGAATTTCTTCCCAGGCCTGTGTTTTTTGAATTAGTGGCATTTTTTTCCCAAAGTTTCTTTTATTTATTTTGAGGGAGAGAGACAGAGCAAGCACGCATAAGCAGGTTAGGGGCAGAGAGAGAGGGAGAGAGGGAATCCCAAGCAGGCTCCACGCTTAGCACAGAGCCCAACGTGGGGCTCAGGGCCATGACCGTGAGCTCATGACCTGAGTTGAAATCCAGAGTCAGATGCAGATGCTCGACCAATGAAGCCACCCAGGTGCCCTGGTGGGATTTAAAAAAAGTGTTTTTAAGTTCATTTATTCATTTTGAGAGAGAGTGCATCAGGAGGGGAGGGGCGGAAAGAGAATCAGAGGCAGGCTCCGCACAGTGTCAGCATGGAGCCTCGTGGTGGGCTCGATCTTACGAACTGCAAGATCATGACCTGCGCTGAGATCAAGAGTCTGCCGCTTAAACCACTTGAACCACCCAGGTACCCCTGCGGTGAGATTTTTTTAATTTTTTTTTTCTAAATTTTTTTTTCCAACGTTTATTTATTTTTGGGACAGAGAGAGACAGAGCATGAACAGGGGAGGGTCAGAGAGAGAGGGAGACACAGAATCGGAAACAGGCTCCAGGCTCTGAGCCATCAGCCCAGAGCCTGACGCGGGGCTCGAACTCACGGACCGCGAGATCGTGACCTGGCTGAAGTCGGACGCTTAACCGACTGCGCCACCCAGGCGCCCCGAGATTTTTTTTAAATTGAATTTTGCTCATATAAACTACTTCATGCACAGTATACTTTCATGAAGGATGTTTCCCGAGAATCAAGAAAGTCCTCTTCTCTCAAATGATGGAATCCAAAGCCTGCTAAATTTGAATGAGCCTAAAAATTAGTGAAATGAACTTTTGCACCATTAAAAGAACTGTTAACTGAAGTATTTTTTGTTTAATTTGCTAGCTTTAAATATCTCATGGTATCAAACAAAATAATAACATAAAACAAATAGTATCGAGAAAAGCTATTATTCCAAACCCCTTCTGAAAAGTCTGTTGTTTCAAAACAAATTTTATTGTTGATAGGTGGTATCTAGGGAGGGAGGGCAGGAAGGAAGGAAGGAAGGAAGGAAGGAAGGAAGGAAGGAAGGAAGGTTGAGAGGGAGGGAG